CACACACACACACAGCATGCCTGGAGAACACACACACACACACACACACACACACACACACACACACACACGTAGGTAAACACCTTTATTGGGTCCAGGGCATTATATAAAGAGGGAGCTTTAAATTGATGCGTTTAAAGCAAGCAGGCACTAGTACTAGGAGGTCACATTGTGACTTAAATGCGTCTAAATGGTCTGTTTAGAGGAAGCAGCGGAAAAGCTGGGAGACCAGCCTGCTGAGAGACAGAGATGCCTCTAGGTTATTATTTCTGGTCACCGGCTGGAGCCATTTGGTGAGAGGTATACTATAGGAAACTACATCAAGGGTGACTGAACCCTGCTTCTGGTTTGAGAAAGTTAAACCTATCTTTAAAAATGGATGCCAAGGCAATCTAAAATTTTAAGCACTCACTGCACCACCCTTACCTCTTATATTTAACATTGTACTGGAAGTTCTAGCCAAGATAATTAAACAAGAAGAATAAATGAAAAGCATTCAGGTTGTAAAAGAAGAAGAAAAATTATCTCTATTTGTAAATGACATTACATTGTGTATAGAAAATTCCAACAATGCCGCTAAAAAAATTATTAGAACTAATAAACAAGCTCGGCCTGACTGCAAGGTACAAGGTCAATATACAAAAGTTGTACTTCTGTACTCTAGCAATGAACACTTCGAATTAGACAAATCCATTGATAATAGCATCAAAAAATAAAATGCTTGGAAATTAATTATTCAAAAAGAGCAAAAGTTATACCCTAAAACTATAACACATACTTGAAAGAAGGTAAAAAAGGAGTAAATAAATGAAAAAACCCCCATGTTCATAGGTTGAGAGACCTTAAGATGGCTTCCCAAATTGATCTACAGTCATCACATCTCTATAGAAATCCCAATAGCCTTTTCAGTGGAAATTGACAAGCTGGTTGTAAAATTCATGTGGAAATTCGAGGGACCCATGACAGTCAAAGCAATCTCGAAAACGAAGGACAAATTTGGAGGATGTACACCTCTCTATTTCGAAACTTACTACAAAGCTATGATAATAATTGCAGACTTGTACTGGCATAAGAATAGACATAAAGATCGATGGGATACAATTAAGGGTTCAGAAATCCATGTTTACACTAATAGCCAGTTGATTTTCAACAAGGATGCCAAGGCTGTTCAATGCAAAGAATAGTCTTTTCAACAAATGGTGCTGGGAAAACTGGATATCACATGCTAAAGACTGAAGCTGGACCCTTTCCTCTTATTTTATTCAAAAACTTACCTCAAAAATATATCAGAGACTAAAATGTAATAGATAAAATTATAAAACTCTTACAAGAGAGCATAGGGGAAAAAAATCTTGACTTTGGTTTAGGCAAAGCCTTCTTATACATGACACCAAAAACACAAGCAACAAAAGAAGAAAACAGGTAAGTTGGACTTCCTATGACGTATACATTTATGACTACATCACATTGTATCCTATAACTATATGCAGTCATTATTTGTCAATTATTTTCTTTTTAAGTAAAAAACAATTTTTTTGACAAGGGGTTTTACTCTGTTACCCAGGCTAGAGTGCAGTGGCGTGATTTCAGCTCACTGCTACCTCCACCTCCTGGGTTCAAGCGATTCTTGTGCCTCAGCCTCCCCAGGAGCTTCTTGCGTCTCAGCCTCCCCAGTAGCTTCTTGCGCCTCAGCCTCCCCAGTAGCTTACAGATATGCACTACCACATCTGGCTAATTTTTTTATTTTTAGTAGAGACGGAGTTTCGCCACGTTGGCCAGGCTTAGCTCAAACCCCTGACGTCAGGTGATCCGCCTGCCTTGGCCTCTGGAAGTGTTAGAATTGCAGGTGTAACCCACCATGCCCAGCCAGAATTTTTGTAGTTCAAAGGATGCGGCCAAGAAACTGAAAAGATAACACACAGAATGAGAGAAAATGTTTGCCAATCATATATCTGATAAAGGATTATATCCAGATAACGCAATTTAAAAATGGGCAATGGATGTGACTAAACATATTTCCAAAGATTGACCTGTAAACTCATTGAAAATGATCAACATCATTTGCCATTAGAACAATGTAAATCAAAACCACAAATGAGGCTAGGCATGGTGGCTCATGCCTGTAATTTGGGAGGCTGAGGTGGGCAGATCACTTGAGGTCAGGAGTTTGAGACAAGCCTGGCCAACATGACAAAACCTTGTCTCTACTGAAAATACAAAAATTAGCTAGCCGTGGTGGTACATGCCTGTAATCCTAGCTACTCGAGAGGCTGAGGCAGGAGAATGACTTGAATCCAGGAGGCAGAGGTTGTGGTGAGCCAAGATTGCACCACTGCACTTCAGCCTGGGTGACAGAGTGAGAATACGTCTCAAAAAAAAAAAAAAAAAAAAAAAAAAAAAAAAAAACCAAAAAAAAAACCCTTTTTTTTTTTTTTTTTTTTTGAGACAGGGT